ATACTCTCTTGGGAGGAACCTAATCACAACCACCTGACCCCAATTATCTTCTATATCTCCGTACTTACTGCTGGCGCTTATCTGCCCGTCTTTGCCAGGCCTCTAGGACCAACTCCCTTAGCTCCTCCCCACTGCTCCAGGGACTGATGTCTTCACCACTGCTCCAGAGCCTGACGTCAGGGACAAACTCCCTTTGATCTTCACCACTGCTCCATGCCTCAGGCGCCTCCTGGTGGCCAACCAGCCTCTCTGGTCCCTGCTTGGAGTCTGAACCCTGCCCAGGGTCCTCCACATCTTCCAGAGCCGACTCATAGGGTCCCTCGCTATCAGAGTCCATCGGCAGCTCCAACGGCTCCTGCTGGGCCACAACAAGTTTCCATACATTGCTGCTTCTTGTCCTGCCTAATGTTCAAGTGTGTCGAGATCCTTCTGGGTCTTGAACCTATTTTCTGGTTCCAGCCAGAAGAAATTTTTAAACTAAACTACATTTAGAAACTAAGAAGAAATTTCCTGAGATTGAGAGCAATCAATCAGTAGAACAGCCTGCCTCCAGAAGTTGTGGATGCTCCATCATTGGAAGTTTTCAAAAAGAGATTGGACACCCATTTATCCAGAACATTATAGGGGTCAAGCAGGACTAGAAGGTCCCTTCCAACTCTGCTATTCTATATTTTATTTGACATCACATAGCAATGGAGCTCCCAATCCCAATTACTGTTGTTAAGTGAGGACTAGCTGTAGTATGAACTATTCTTATCTCAGATGAAATGTGGGACCTTCTATAAAATTCAGAGACTTGTCAAGGCAACCATAAGTATAACCAATAAATTGAAATTGCCTATTGGGACTGCTGTGTTTCATTTGTGATTTCTGAAAATATATTTTGGTGCACATGGGAGCACCAACATGGCATATCCTTTCAACTGTTTAAAGGAGCTATGTTCTTACCTGGGATTACATAACTGCTTTCCATCCTGTGGAAAGGCACTATAGCTTTAAAATTGAACATACTACATTTTTGAATTAAATTTGGAGGCCCTATTTTATCATGGAATGCTAATTTAAAAAATCTAAAACACAGTGCATTAATACTGTTCATATGTAAATAAAATGAGAAAACACAGAAACACAACTAAAATGCAGCATAAATTACTTATTCACTTGAGAAAGAGCTCAGTACTGAGGTGTCAACCAATAGTGATGAATTATAGAATCAGAAGGCACTCAACATACCTTAAATAATAAGTTTATAATTGTAATTCTCGTCCAAAGTGTGGAAAGTTTTTATGAGCATTAATGTTTAGACTATTGTACTTAAAATTTGGAGATAGGAATGCCATCTAAACCTACAGCATTGTCAGAAATGCCACTACAATAATAAGTACAGAACACCTATGTGAGTGTATGTGCATGTTTGTGCTGTTCCTACTATCATCTATTCTACATTCAGTCAGAAATATGCTTTGTTGAAATATTCAATTGTTGCTGCATCAATACAAGAGAACTGAGTAAATCTTACCCTATGTGACAAATTAGATTCTAGATATGTTTAAAGATCACTCACCAACCTGTGAGGAACGTTCTGTTTGTCCTGGTGCTCTTCCTCTGGGCTTTTCAAGTTTTTCTACTTCTATTTAATAGAAGTGGGCTGGCCAAGTTATTGGTAAGTATTTTAAAAAATTCCCTTTGTAATTTTGTGTCATTATTACAGATTACCAAATATTTAAGTTAAGACCACAAATAATGTATCAGTCTATTAATTCTGTTTTGGATCTGCTGCTACTGTCAGGAAGAACAATTTACTAAAATATGTAAACTGCAGCCAAAATCCTGAAGAGATGGTCATCTGAATTTGTTTTAATCTATATTTTAATCTATGTCACCAAGATGCTGATTCTCGGTAACTTTTAGCTGAATTTAAAATGACTGGTATTGTAGTTCATTTATCTAGTACCAATTCTGTCACAAATGCTTAAATCCAAAATAATACATTGCATGGATGCAATCCCAAAACAAATACATAGTCTGTACTAACATATAAAGTTTATACTTTACCAACATAATCGCTGAGTTTTACTTTTTTACTTCTTATTAATATTCCTTCTTCTACCAGCTCTTGGTAAAGAGAATCAATGGTCCTATACAGAAATAAAGAGTAAGCTACACAAACATATCTGTAGACAAATGCATATTCTTGATGGTCTCTGCAAATATTTCAATGAGATTAGCACTGATGATGTTGCCTAGTCAAGTAATGAAATATCTGCAAGGAAACAACCAGGCTCAAAGAGCATCAAGGACTCCACCGTTCAACCATGAACTACATATATTCTTCTATTAAAACAAAAGCATGTATTTTCTATCATTTATTAGAGGTCTTCTTTAAATGTTCTTCCCTAAAAATATTTTTATGTTTAATAGTAGCTCATTCATACTTTTAATGAAAGTTTGCCATTGCATATTTACTGTTACTGTCATATTTTTCATGTGTTGGTGCATAAATACTATGAAATCATATTTATTTAGCATTATTGTAGCATAAGATAGTCCTCGACTTATGACCACACTTGAGCCCAACATTTCTGTTGCTAATTGAGATAAGTGTTAATTGATTTTTGCCCCATTTTATGATCCTTCTTCTCACAGTTATTAAGTGAACCACTGCAGTTGTTAAATTAGTAATATGTTTGTTAAATGAATTTGGCTTCCCAATTTGACTTTGCTTGTGAGAAAGTTGCAAAGGTGATCACATGACCTTGGGACACTAACTGTGACATGAGTAAATTGCCAATTGTCTGAATTTTGATCATGTGACAATGGGATGCCGCAATAGTTGTAAGTGTAAAAATGGCCATAAGTCACTTTTTTACAGTGACGTAACTTTGAATGGTCACTAAATGAACTATTTTAAGTTGAGGACTATCTGTTTGAAAAATGAAGCACTAAAGTCTTATATAGTGCAATCCTATGCATGTTAGTTCAGAACTGTGGGTCAAGCAGCAGAATTTGTGAAAGTGATCTATACAAGTATTTTATTGTATTGAAAGGTAATGTTGGAAATACTGATGCAATGGGCAAGGGCTAAGACTCTACTCATATTTTACATATCAGGAGGATTTTTTTTGATAGAAAATTGAATTTAACATTTGGCCTAGATAATAGAAACAGAAGTTAGAAAGGAGGAGATATGAAGGGAGGTAATGGTTTAGAGGAGTCTTGTTAAAGAAGATGATGTTAAATGTTAAATATTAAGGTTAGAATATTATATGGTTGTTGTTATTATTGTGATGACTAAATATAATGAAGATGTATAAATATGACAATCTAAACATAATTGTACCCAGAATACACACTTTGATGAAAATTGAGTGTTATATAAATAAAAGAATAAAAATGAAAAAGAAAGAAGTGCGCATGTGAGTGCATCAGCATGCAATATTGTGTAATTATCAAGACAATTGTACAGAGCCAGACTGTTACTACAAGAAAATGTGGAAAGGCATTTACTGCATATGCAAACTTTATTTATTGAGTTGGAACAGTGTGGCATGCATATTCCTGAATCTCAAGGTACTGGCAATTTCATCAAATAGCCTTGATGAAATGTGGGACATTGTTTCAGCTGTTTTTGAGTGCAAACCAGGATTTATGAATGGAAGCCCTTAAAGCCTGTTTGATTTCAGAAGAAAACAAATGCCATTTTAGAAAAAGCCACGAGGAGAAATTTCTAAGGTGGGGCCCCAAGGAACAGAGAGAAAAAAGCTACAGACAGGATGTCTGCAGCGACCAGAGTAACAGAAGAGACCAGATTACAGCCCAGCAAATATTTTCAAAAAAGCAAGAAACGGGACAGCAAGACTGGAGGTGTTTCTTATTTATTTATTTATTTGTCAAACATATACAAGGTAACAAGTATAGGTATGAACATGAACGTGAACAAAGGAAGTAAATACAGATAAATGGGGATAGTAAGACAGAGATGGTATGCACGTTGGTGTGCTTATGCACTTCCCCTTTACAGACCTCTTAAGAATGGGGTGAGGTCCACAGTAGACAGTTTGAGATTGAAGCTGTGAGGGTTTGAGGTTGTAACAATGGAGTTTGGTAGAGCACGCCAGGCGTTGACCACTGCGTTGCTGAAGTCGTATTTTCTGCGAGTTTGAAGTTGTTTACTTTGAGTTTGTATGAATTGTTTGCCAGTGTATTATTGTGGTTGAAGCTGAAGAAGTCGTCGACAGGCAAGATGTTATAGCAGACAATTTTGTGTTCTATGGTTAGATCGAACCGCAGGCGGCACAGTTCCAGATTGACCAAACCCAAAATTTGAAGCCTGGTGGCATAGGGAATTCTATTGTGAGTAGAGGCTTAAGAGTACTCTTGTGAAATACCTCTGAACCCGCACAATTGTGTTAATGTCCGATATACAGTGTGGGTTCCAGGTGAACAAGATGTATTCAAGAATTGGTCTGGCAAAGGTTTGAATGCCCAAGTTAGCAATATAGTGTTACCAGAGAAGATTCACAAAATTAGGTTAACATTTTTTTTTTTAAAAAAAAATTAAATTTACATTTTCCAAACATTAAAATCAAAATTACACTTTTATCGGTATTTCTTTTTTCTGATTTCGGTTTTCCATTTTCCATTCTATTATTTTATACATATTCTTCTTCGTTTCTTACTTTCTCATTTTTACAATATATACATCTATATACAGTATTAGATTGATTTTGTATTTCACCAAATCTCTCTTCTTTGATTTTAATATTTTAATTTTAATATCCATCTGAATTTTTTCCTCTGACATTTCCATTTTACCATTAGTGGATTATGGTCTGCCCCTGTATTTGGCGAAATCTCCATATCTTCTATATTATTGATCAATTCTGGGTTCATCCATGCCATATCGATTCACGACCATGAGTTGTGCGGATGGGAAAAGAAAATGTACTGTCTTTTTTGGATATATCTATCTCCATGCATCTCTCAAATTTAATTCTTGCACCATTTCAAAGAAGGTACTCGGTAGTTGTCATTATTTCTTCTTCTTCTTCTTCTTCTTCTTCTTCTTCTTCTTCTTCTTCTTCTTCTTCTTCTTCTTCTTCTTCTTCTTCTTTTTCTTCTTCTTCTTCTTCTTC